GCATTAGCATTGTAAGTAAACATTAGCCTTTTTTTTCCAGTAAGAGGTTTTTATTTAATAGAATTTTTGGACAAAAAAAAATCGCAATATATTGCCTTGCTTACAGTATCGCAATATATCAGGATATATCGTATCGTGACCCCTCTGTTATGATATGTATCGTATCACCAAATTCTTGCCAATACACAGCCCTAATATACATACTGTATCTGCTATTTTGACCCAAAATATAACAATTTTAAAGGAACAGTAAAATACTTTATATCCCATTTGGCAACCCTGCCCGGTACATTACTGCAGCAGTTACAAAGAGGTGCGCACTCACAGGCTGTGTAGTTTGCTTCATCCCTAAAGAGATGCTGTTTTTTAATATTGTTTATGTACTTTTTCACTTGTGTGTGTGTGGTGTTTAATTTAAATTTAGTTGTTCTTTGTTTTTTTATTCAAGTGCATTTATTGTTTTTGTCCATGAAATAGCCTTGGAGTCATTTTGATCCCTTTTAAAAACAGGGTGGCACAGGTTGGAGTTCAATTTGTTAAACATTCTTTAAAAATTAAAAAAAATTTGATCTTTGAGAGCATGTACATACTTTATTACGCTGTTATCATTATATTAGTTTTAAAATGGTCACCAGGCAATATTATCATTTATTGCAATAATTTCTGAGACAATTAATCGTCCAGCAAAATTTATCGTGACAGGCTTAGTTGTTCATTTATAACCCTCACATGTATTATTTTATGTGTAATTGTGCTAAATTTGTTGTGTAGAATTCATGAATTACAGGAGGACATCATCAAACTCAAACTAGACGTGACAACTGCCCAGGACTGTATAAAACATTTGGAGAGTCAGGTAAGGAAGGCAGGCGTAGACTGTGTGTGCCGTGTTCCCTTACATCTGATAAGTTGCTTTCTGAACAGGTGGAAGAAAGAGACAAAGAGATCGAGCGTCTAAATCACGTCCTGCARGGAGGACGACCTCATGAGGTCATCTCTCTGGAAGCTCAGACCATCAGCAATGAGAAACTGATCGCACATCTGAACCTTCAGGTAAGATCTTCACTGCTCCACAGTTGGTGTTGTTTGTTTGTCTGGCAGAAAAGGGCAGTGAGTTCATCTGTGGCTCTGTGACAGATTGAGTACCTCCAGGAAACCAACAGAACCCTGGAAGAAAAGYTAGAAGCCCTGCAGCAGAAAAAGAAGAACGCCTCGGAGGAAGTGGCCAATCTGTCCTTGAAGAACCTGGAACTGTGTGAGGAGCTGACAGAGATCGATCAGCTCACCAAACGCATGCAGATGGACAAAGAGCACATGTTGGAAACTGCTGACATTCAGCTACAAACAACTAATGTAAGATAAAGGGTCCCAGAGAACGAAGGATTTCAGCAGGAAACTGCTCTGAATCATAATGAAATTGTTTTCTGAGCAGAAAGAAATTGAGCGGCAGCAGAAAACCATCGAAGACCTGGAGGATCTTCTCACAAAGATCAGAAAGGTTTGACTCTGACAGATTTAATCTTAATGAATGTTTATTGTTTATTGATTAGGATCCCCATTAGTTTCCACCAAGATGGTTACTAATCTTCCTGATAACATACAATATTTATACAACGCATAAAATCATGACATAAAATATACA